GATTTTGTCACCTTATAGATGGTCATATCATTTCTTCTTCTACAATAGAAAGCTTAAGCGTGTAGTGAGCTTCCGTTTGAGCTGTGGAAGGTAAATTCCGAATTTATTCTTCCATCATTTGTTTTAAGACTTGAGACCAGTTGCCATAAAAAAATCTGCTTAATTACGTGCTAATTGTGGACAGTAACTTGGTGAACGATGGGTTTTTGGATGACGAGTCGAGTCAGGAGGAAGATGGAGAAATATTTGATGACATGGACATATAATATAACCCATTCATCAACTACATGCTGTAAACCCCTTGTTATATAACCGTAAGAGACTCGTGTAATCCTCCTAGTAGTATTAAGCATGAGATAGTTTGCTAGGCTGTCTGTTTGTATTTTTCACTTTATGTAAGTAAGTATTTTCACCTTTGCTGCGTGTTAATACGGTAAGTAAGGCCTGTACAAATCTTGTGTTTGTATATCGTAATGTTCTGTGTTAGGTTCGGTACCTGAGAGTCTGGGACTATGGTTTAGTTCATAGAAGATTGTATCATTTAATTTCCCAAATTTCATCCTTCCTAGTATTTTGTGGTTTATTATTGTGAATCTGTGGTTAACATGTTCATGTAGTTGTCAATGTGATTTGAATTACTTCAATCGGAATTCTTGTGGGAAAGTTAACCCCAAAATAAGTCATATGATTTATTTTATGATGATTTTTTTTAATCATGATTTTGATTTAATATTTCAAAGTGCAAGATATAAAAGCTGCATCTCCATTTTTAAGCTTTTCCAAAAACATATTTTTTGTTGTCTTGATGGTAATTGTACTAAGGTTGTGTTTGCAAAAGTATATTTAAATCTTAAAAGTATAAGTTAGTATGATTGTGGTGGTGTTTGCAAAAGCAGAAGTTAATAATTGTGGCTTAAAGTGGTGTTTGCAAAAGCACAAGTTAATGATTGTGGATTAAGGTGGTGTTTGCAAAAAAAATTAGAAATAGATTATGAGTTTTTTTTCTATACAATCTGTTTTTAGGTGTTTGCAAAACAAGCTTTAGCTTTTGCTTCTCTTAAAATACGCTGTTTTAATCTATAATTTTAGAAGTATTTATATACCTGTTGTATCTATTTTAGTTGATTTTCTACCTAATTTGCAAATACTCCAAACTCTTAAAAATAAGCACTTAATTCCATTTTAACTCACAATCACTAACTTCTGCCCTTAAATAAACTTTTGCAAACACTACCTAAGTGGACAGTAAGTGCTAATTTTTAAAAATTTGGGTGTTTGCGAATTTGTTGGAAACTTAAATGAAAAAAACATGTCTAGGGGTGCTTTAAAAAAAAGATTAGAGCAACTTATTTTAAAAGAAGCAAAATCAAATGCTGATTTTGCAACACCTAAAAATAGATTACGAGCTAAAAAAAGCTCAAAAGCTATTTCGAATTTTTTTACAAACACCTCCTATGATTTAAGTGCTCATTTATAATAAAATATTTGTTCTATGAGAGCCCTTGACTTTGAAGGTGGCCTCGGACGTATATCAACACACACAGTGAGTTAAATACTACAACCAGCCTATAAACTAAGATACTAATCCTATATTATTATATGTAGCTGCCCAATGTAAACATTTCAATAACTTTAACGCAATCATATATCCCATATATTACTCGGTCATGCCATTCATTTATCTAAGTAAAAATGGTGTGTATACATACCAACATATTTTACTCAATAATAATAATATTCGACAAAAAACCGAGTCATTCCAATCATCGAAGTAAACGAGCCCTTGTGGTTTTATTTTATTTCGTTCAACTGTAACTTCAATTCTTAGTTAACTCATGTGATCGCGACATTTATTATTTTTTTTTGTTAAGGAATCTGCATCCAATCAAATGAATATATTCAGTGAATCTCTACTCTCGTATAATAGTTCATAAACTGCACGAGAAATGTAAATCAAACTAAACAAACCACGAGTGACGAGCTTATACAATGTTGCCAAATGGATTCGAATCTTGGTCTAACATCACAGATTCAAATGAATAGTTGCTCAATATTCAACTATTCTCCGTTGTTTGTGTGTGTGTGTCTCTCTCTCTTTTTTTATTCCTCCAAGTCTTCGCGTTACGAAGTATGATATATACCACGCATTTGAGATAGAAAGGACACGAGCTAATTATATTTAAAATAAAACTGCATATTCTCTCTCATATGATTTTCCAGATTAACTTGCAACTCAATCATCCCGAGTCGGAATACCTTCAACTGCACTTCTGAGTACTCATTGATTGAATTAACTATGATAAAGGTAATTACTGAACTTTCTAATTGTCATTTTGGATATTAGAATCTAGTAGTCCGGTAGTATTTGAGCTATTAAGTTTTGTCGTATTATATCCGCAATTTTTTCTTATGAAATTCCTACGTATGGTTGTGACTTGTGACTTGGTGGTTGACAAGCTTCCAAGTCTCCAAATCTAGTTCTATGTTAAAATGAATTGGGAATTTTAAAATTTATTACCGAGTTATTTGATAACATATACTTCCAATAGGGTAAAAACCATAAAAGCCCTCTTTGTTAAGTAAAATATGTGCCAAATCTCCCAGTGTTTTTTTTTTCTTGCGTAAAAACCCCTTGCGTTTAATATTTACTTTGTATAAAATTCCCGTTTCTGTTAAAAGTTAAGGTTGTAAAGCCCTCTTTGTTAAGCAAAATCTGCGCAAAATCTCTCAGTGTTTTTTTTCTTGCGTAAAAACCCCTTGTGTTTAATATTTACTTTGTATGAAATTCCCGTTTATGTTAAAAGTTAACGTTGTTAACTATAGATTTTATGCATTTTTTTAATAACCGAGGGGAATTTAGTGCATATTATCTACAATATAAGGGAATTTTATGAAAAATTAATTTAGTCGTTCAAATTTCATATTATTTTCTTAAATTAAGTCGAACACATATATTCAGAAACAATATGAGAAATAGAAAATTAATAGGTGTGGTGAATATTAAAAAATAATAATTTAATATAATATAATTTATTAATATATTTAAAAAAATTGATTTTTGAAAATGCATAATTATTTGATTAGAATAATTATATATTTCTATAATTTATTATGTATTATTTGTATGTGAAAATAATATAATTAATTTTAGAATTCGTTCCAACTTCCATCTCGAATATTAATTTTTTAGTTTTCATATTTTTAATTAATAGATGATGTATTCGACTAAATTTAAAAAGATAATTTGAATTTTAAAAGAATAAATTAGTTTTGCACTAAAATCCCCCTATGTTACAAAAAGCATGCATAAAATTCTCCCTATATTTAACGGTGGTAATTATTAACGGAAATATGGATTTCATGCAAGAAAAAATGGAACGCAGAGGGGACTTAAGCAATAAAAAGAACACATGGGATTTGGTACAAATTTGTCATATAACACAGGGGAGTTTTATGCTGTTTACCCGTATTTTGTGAAACTTTAGCACCGTGTTGAATAAATTTTCAAGGGGTTTTTATGAGAAAATCATTGACCACTCATATTTATTAATCTAGGTTAAGTTGTTTTTTTTTTCTTTGTGCAAATAAGCCCACAATTTTAACATTTATTACAAATAGAGGCAACCCTTATAATGATATAATTACATCCAACCCTATAAACCCAATTCATAACTGTTAATCCTAATTTACTTACAATTTTGACTCGCAAAATTCTATTTTTACTGTTTTTCTTTTCTTGCTTTTTTTTTTCGGCCGGTCTCTAGCGTTGGCTTAAAAAAGACAAATTTCAGCCGCAGGCTGGCGGTCAACGCCTATTTTCAACATTAATTTTTTTTTTCTTGCTTTCATCATTTACTCTTTTCCGCAGTTGATGTGTAAAAAAATCAATAGCTGTCAATAGAATAATATTACTGTCAACCACAAAGATATTAATTTTTAGGCTTTATATTTTATTTAGCTATGTTAACCGATCAATATAATAATATTATTATATTACACAACAATATTATTTTATATAACACAATAATTATGTTGTTTAATATTATTGTGTTCAACAATAATATTTAATATTAATGTGTTAGACATTACTATAGTCAATATTACCGTGAAACACGGTAATATCATTGTTTTTAATGGGAAAAAAACGCTCTGAAGAAACGAGTTCATAGAAAATAAAGTCAATATCGGATACCGGTAATCAAATGTAGCAACAATCAAAATTGGGGTTCAAAATTAATTAATTGGTAAAATTGAGGTCAAACTATGGTGCATTTCCTTTCCAATGTGGTCTCAAATGTACACTTTTTTTTTTTTTTTTTTTCTTTTTTTCCCAAAAACTTTTCTCTACCACACAGTAATATTATTTTTTTAGACAATAAAACTACCGTTTAACACATCAGTATCATCATGTTAGCATTAATTATTGTGTTAGACTGCTATATTACAGTCGAACACAATAACATTGCGACCGGCGGTTAACAACGAAAAAAAAGGTCAATGATAATTAACATTCAAACATACAACAAAAAAAAAAATATTAATGGAAAAAAAATTAATAATAAAAAAATTATTAACATTTTTCTCCAAACATTTGAAAGAATAGGAATCAAGTATATTTGTTGTGTTTTTAGGTAAACACAATAACAGTGAGTCAAACCAACACTATTCTCAGGAAAAAAAAATATAATGTTGTTTTTTTGATCGGTCAACACAATGCAATTACCGTTAAGAAGAAAAAAACATAGAAGAAATGGTTAACACTGGCATTACCAGTCAATGGTGGTCGACCGGGTTCAATGAAGGTCATTACGGTAAACGTTAACAAATTGGCAATTAATGAAAATATTTTGGTGAAAATAAAAGGACTAAGTTGTACTTTTTGCAACAAATCAAACCTTCATCGAAGTGAGTAACCATTTTTACACTGATTCTGCAGCCTGATTTGTTTTCCAGGAAATGAGGATACCCTTTATGCTACTCCGACTGATTTCATCACTAAGTCTTGCCACAACTCTGACACTAGCAATAACTTTGTCCAAGGACGGTTGTCCGTCAAAGTGCGGAAATATCACAATTCCGTATCCTTTTGGCATTGGTTCTTCATGCAGTGCTAATTCCTCCTTCGAAATCGTTTGCCGATATTCGACCAACATTATTCCTCCAAGGGCGATACCATTCCTGAGCAGCATTAGTTTGGAATTATTTAATATATCTTTGCAGGGTACAATCACAATAAACAACCCCGTTAAACCGATGCATTACTATAGTATCCAGGAAACACGATATTTTGTAGCATCACTCGCACAAAGTCCATTTACCATCTCAAGTCAGCACAATTTGATGGTTGTTTTAGGCTGTCAGAATTCGGTCTGGATGCGTGCTAATAACACGGCAACGGCAGTCGGCGGATGCATAGCCATCTGTGATGCTAATTTAACAGACACCAATTGTAATGGTATTAACTGCTGCCAGGCAACAATCCCACCTCGACTCAAAGGGCTTAAATATAGTTACCAATGCACTAATCAAGTTGGTACCAATAACAGCTCATGTGGTTATGCTTTCCCTGTCGAAAAGAAATGGCTCCGAGACGAATATAAAAAGCAAAAAGTCCTTCAGAATAATCAGTTAAATCCATATGACCCAGATTTTGTATCCGCACCACTCGTACTTGAGTGGGAATTCAACAAACAGGAACTTGATAGTACAAGTGCTTGCAAGTACTATTCCAACAACAGTGAAAATTATGGTTATGAAATTTCCAAAGATTACGTATCTTCTGCGCAGTATTGCTATTGCAAGAATGGGTATGAAGGGAATCCATATCTACCTCAAGGATGCAATTACATAGATGAATGTGGCCCTAATGCAACGATTCAGCATTGCAATGGTAAAGATTGTTTCAACAGAGGAGGAAGTTACATATGTGGTCCCAGTCCCAGTGGATATGTCAATTATGAAATATACATCGGCATTGGCAGTGGTCTTGGAGCACTAATTTTTTTCTGGGGAGGGTGGAGGTTCACCAAATTCATCATAAAAAAAATCAAAGCTAACCGTAAACGCGAGTTGTTTAAGAAAAAATTACAGCAACATTTGTCTTCAAGTGACAATGGCCTAGACAAAACCAAATTGTTCCGTTTCAAGGAGTTAGCAAAAGCTACCGATCATTACAACGTAAATCGTATACTTGGTCGTGGCGGCCAAGGTACAGTCTACAAAGGAATGCTGACAGATGGAAGAATCGTTGCAGTAAAAAAGTCAATGAAGATAGAAGAAGGTGATCTCGAAGTCTTCATCAATGAGGTTGTTATCCTATCACAAATAAACCATAGAAATATAGTTAAACTGTTGGGATGTTGTCTAGACACTGTAATTCCCCTTCTCGTGTACGAGTTCATCCCCAACGGCACACTCTTCCAACACGTGCACGATCCAACCGAGGAGTTCCCTTTATTTTGGGAAATGCGAGTCCGTATTGCAAGAGAAGTAGCGGGGGCGCTCTCGTACTTGCACTCTTCTGCATCTGCACCTATTTATCACAGGGATATCAAATCGACGAATATATTATTGGACGATAAGTATCGTGCCAAAGTAGCTGATTTCGGGACATCAAGATCAGTTGGTATCGATCAGACACATTTGACTACACGAGTACAAGGGACCAGTGGCGGATCCAGGACGAAAATTCAGGGTATGCCGGCTGTGCCGAGACAAGAATTTACTGTACTGTGGGGTTAAATTTTCGGGGGTTCGGGGGCAGCTCCCCCGGGAAAAAAATTTGAAACTTTTTTTGTTGGATAAATTAGGAGAAGGGAAAAAAAAATGAAACTTTTTTTTTTTTGGATAAATTAGGAGAAGAAAAATTTGGGACTTTTTTTGTATATTTTGAATTTTGGGTGGGACTAAATAATAATATAGATATAATATAATGTGTTTTTGGGGAGAGGGGCTAAAAAAAAAAAAACGATAGGACTTTTTTTGTATATTCTGAATTTTGGTGGACTAAATAGTAATATAGATATAATATAATATGTTTATGAGAGAGGGGCTCAAAAGAAATTTAGATAAAAAAAATAAACAATACTTTTTTGTACCATAATGGAGTCGAACTCATGACCTCGTATAACAACTTGGAGAATCATTGCCACTAAGGCAAATTTATTTTCATTATTGGGGGTGGTCCATGGCATACTTGGCCACCCCCTAGATCCGCCCCTGCAAGGGACCTTCGGTTATTTGGATCCCGAGTATTTCCAATCGAGTCAGTTTACAGAGAAGAGTGATGTCTATAGTTTCGGTGTTGTTATGGTTGAACTTTTAACTGGGGAGAAAGCGATCTCAACAATTAGAGCCGATGCGGGAAGGAGTTTAGCGACACATTTCTTGCACTCGATGGACGAAAATTGTCTATTCGATATTCTTGATGCAAGGGTGCTCAACGAGGGCAGGAGGGAGGAAATTGCGGCGATTGCTGAACTTGCTAAAAGATGCCTGCATTTGAACGGCAGAAGAAGACCAACTATGAAGGAAGTTGCAGTCGAGTTGGAAGGAATTCAAATGCGGAAAGAAGGTGGTTCGGTTATTCAGCAGAATCAAGATGATGATGACATAACTGAGTTGTCTCATGACATATTCTCTTCCATCTCAACAAACATGCATACGGAGTATTCATTAACTCCGTATTCACCGGATTACGATGATCGTTCATTGCTTAATAGGCCCTGAAGAATATCAAGTCTCTCTCGTACGTCCTTATCCATTCCCTTTCCATGTAACAAAACAATGTCTGTTTCTAGCAATAAAGAAGTTCTAACTTCTAAATAGTTGGTTGTATTAATTATAATTATTATCATCTTCATTATTATTGTAATTATATTCTTTGTTGTATGTTTTATTATCTTGCACATTTCCTGAAAGAATTACATTTATTAAGACCTCATTCTGGAAGGAAAAAATCGAAAGAACATAAAATGATTCAAGATGATAAATAAAAATATTAAAGTTTTAGGATTTATTTATTTATTCAAGGATGAACAGTTTATAAATGTAAAATATCTAATATCATTTTACAAGTCCACTATTTTCATCTATTCGATCTAATAATTCGATTTTGTGTTTTTTACTTTACTTTTCAAACTATTAGTAATTTCTCTATGTTCGATGCCCGCATAACATTCCGAAAACCGAAAACCGAAAATATGATTAGTTTTGTTGCATGAAAAATCTGTCAAACGTAGCCATAAGCCATGGTACACAATAAGTGGAACATACAAAAGCAACATAGATGTTGTAATGAGAACATAATACTACACAATTGTTTCAGAAATACAAAACATAAAACTTTTAAACACATTTAACATAAATTATTAATGGGGTACAAAACTGTTGGGTTTTTAATATGCATGCGGAATTGTGGTGTTAAGAAAGAACACTAAGAATTGGTGTAGAGATTTTTACTAAGTCAAGAACAATGGAATTACTCAAAAAAAAGAGAGGTTTTTAGTACTGGAAATTTTTAGTTTTTAGTTGTTATTATTGCTTTCTTGCTTGCTTACAAATCTCATCATGGGTAGACATGGCCACGGGTCGGGTCTGACCCGGACCCGGCCCGGACCCGACCCGTTGACTGCCCCGGCCCGCCCCGGCCCCGACCCGTTGACCATGGACCCGGAGCCGGCCCCGGCCAAGAACGGGTCGGTTTCGGGTCCCGACTTCTTGGACCCGAGACCCGCCGGGTCTACCCGGCGGGTGGACCCGAAGACCCGGACCCGAGGGCCCGGCCCGAGGACCCGTCGGGTCAACCCGGATTTTTGATGAAATAATCACCAAAAATGCAGCCACTGGGTTTCGAACCCGGGTTAGCCCGAGTGGTTTAGTGAGCACTAACCACTCGGGCAAAGTAACTTATTCAAATATTAATCTTAACTATAAATATATAATTACAAATAATACTATAAAAGAATTATAACAATTGAATAACTAATGTTAATAAATTATTAATTGTCAGGTTCGTTATCTTTAATATTAAAAATCTCACCTAATAACAAATACATATATATTTAAAAATCTCCCCTAATAACAAATGCATATATAAATAATTACGATTTAATTTAAAAGAAAGATTGATTTTTGGACAAGAACTTATTAGTATTATTGAGTATCTTATCAAAATTAAATAATAATACTCAATAATATTAATAATATATGCATTATAAATAATTACGATATATATTCAAACTTTTTAGTATTATTAATATAAACCTCAATTATTAACAAGAACTTATTAATATTATTGAGTATCTTATCATAAGATGATTAATTAAAAATATAAATTTCGACTAGTAACAAATTTAAATCGACTAACCTCAATTGTTGACAAGAACTTATTAATATTTATAAATTATTAATATAAAAAATCTCCACTAGTAACTAATGAATATATATTTAATTTTGAAAAATATAAAAAAAAAATACGATTGAATTTAAAAGAAAGATTGAATTTTGATATTTTTTGAATTTTGAAATTTTGAAAAATTTCTCACTTATTACTTTCACTTATAAATACCCATAATTCAATCTTCACAACTTTAATTTTATTTAGTTTATGTCTCAAAGTCTTAATTGTTTCATTTTTTTCTAAAATTGTTTAGTGTTTTAAATTTAATTATTTTTTTTTATTTTGAATTTAAAGTTAATCTCATGTTTTTTCAAGTTTCAATATAATTATTTTTCCTTTCTTAATAAAAAAAAAAAAAAAAAATTGAAAAACCGGGTGGACCCGGACCCGACCCGGACCCGGACCGGACCCGGATGGACCCGGGTGGACCCGCCCCGGACCCGGACCCGCCTCCCCGCGGGTCGGTTTCGGGTCCCCGAAAAGTCGGACCCGGACCCGGCGGGTCCGACCCGGACCCGGACCCGACCCGCCCCGTGGCCATGTCTAATCATGGGTACAATTTATAGGGTTGGAATGGATACAAAGAGACACACCTTTCCAAGTCCCAAGTTCTTAGGAAATGTAAAAGTCTTAACAAATTACAAGAAATCTTCTTGACTTCTACAAGTCAAGTCTTCATCTCTTAATGATGTTCCAACTTCTTTATTCAAAATATGAATTACTATTTTCAACACCCCCTCATAATTCATAATTTTCAGCTTCTTCTTGAACTTTTCAAACTTCTCGATTGTCACGGCTTTGGTAAGAAAATCAGCAGCTTGATCATTGGTGTTAACAAATTTCATTGAGATTTCTTCTTCTTCAACAAGATCACGTATGAAGTGATGTCGAAGCTCGATATGCTTGGACCTTGCATGAAAGACTGGATTTTTAGTCATTGCAATTGTAGACATGTTATCACAAAAGATAGTCGTAGCATGCACTTGCTTTTCTTGCAAATCCGAAAGAATTCTCCTAAGCCAAACGGCTTCACAAGCGGCATCCGCCGCGGCAATATACTCGGCTTCGCTTGAAGATAAAACAACCGTCTTTTGCTTCTTAGAACTCCATGCAATCACCTTCGAACCTAGAGAGAAAATATAGCCCGAAGTGCTTTTTCGATCATTCAAACAACCTGCCCAATCAGTACTATCCGTGAAACCGATCAAGGCATTATTTTCTTCTTTTTCGTACTTCAACCCTTGCTTCTTTGTTCCTTGAAGGTATCGAAGGATCCTCTTTGCCGCTGCAAAATGAAGCTTGCTTGGCTAACTCATGTACCGCGAAACATAGCTAACGGAGTGCACTATGCCGGGTCTTGTGTTTGTGAGATAGATAAGCGAACCAACAAGACTTCGATATATTTTTGAATCAATTTTTTCAGCGCCATCGTCTTGTCGCAACTTCTCATTCACCGCCAAAGGTGTTGCCACAGGTTTGCAATTTTCCATCTTGAACTTTTTTAACAAATCATCAACGTATTTTTCTTGAGAGATAAAAATCTCTCCCTCGGATTGTTTTACTTGAATTCCAAGAAAATATTTCATGAGTCCCAAATCGAACATCTCAAATTCTTGCATCATATTTTTCTTGAATTCCTTCACCATTTTCACGTTAGTACCAAGATAAATAAGATCATCAACGTAAAGACAAATGATCAAAAAATCTTGAGTACCTTCCTTTTTTACATAGAGAGAGGGTTCACTTGGACTTTTTTGAAATCCATTCTTGCAAAAATAGCCATCGATTTTGCTATTCCAAGCTCGTGGTGCTTGTTTTAATCCGTAGAGAGCTTTCTTCAAACGATAGACTTTTTCCTCCTTTTCGGCAACTTCAAAGCCTTGAGGTTGATGAACATAGACTTCTTCTGTAAGCTCTCCATTAAGGAATGCGGATTTGACATCCAATTGATAGATATTCAGCCCCAATTGAGCTCTGATTGCAGGAACATACCAAATTGTCTCCATTCGTGCTACCGGTGCAAAAGTCTCATTGAAGTCTATCCCGGGCTGCTGCGAATAGCCTTTTGCAACTAATCTCGCCTTGTGTTTTTGGATACAACCGTCTTCATTGAGTTTGGTTTCGAACACCCACTTTAAGCCGATTACATCTTTGCCTTGTGGCAAATCCACAAGCTCCCAAGTTTTATTTTTTTTTAATTGTTTCAATTTCGGCTTCCATGGCTTTTTTCCAAACTTCTTCTTTTGATGCTTCTTCAAAATTCTGAGGTTCACAACCAAAGAAAGCAATATCACATTGCTCATAAATATCTTTCAAAGATCGTACCTTTCTTGGAGGAGATTCGGAATCCGAACTCGAAGAACTTGAGGAACTTCTTTGAGGTGTTCTTTGAGGTGTTCCTTGAGGACTTGTTAATGGAGTTTCATTTCCATATTTTTGCTGCCCTTTTGGTACAAAAGATGACTCCAATGAATCATTTGACACCAAGTTTGGTGAAGAATTGTCCTCTTTATTCCATTTGGCCATTTCGTCAAAAATCACATCTCTTGACACGATGAGTTTTTTAGTTTCAGGGTTAAAAAGACGATAACCCTTTGACTCATCGCTGTAGCCAACAAGAATTAAATTTTCACCTTTTTCATCGTATTTGTCTCGGTTTGGAGTTGAGATATGAGAGTAGGCAATGTAGCCAAAAACTCTCAAGTGATCCACCGTTGGCTTCTTTCATGCCAAGCTTCGTACGGTGTTTTATCTAGACCCGCCTTTGTCGGGGACCGGTTGAGTATGTAGATAGCCGTGTGAACAGCTTCAACCCAAAATTGTTGTTGCAAGCTTTTTCCTTGAAGCATACTACTCGCCATCTCGACAATGGTTTTATTCTTCCTTTCGGCTATACCGTTTTGTTGTGGACTTCTACGAACGGTGAGTTGTCTTTGAATCCCGTTTTTCTTGCAATACTCCATGAATGGTGTGTAGAGAAACTCACCACCACGATCCGTCCGTAAAGACTATATTTTTAATCCACTTTGATTTTCAACAAGAGCTTTGAATTGTAGAAAAATGGAAAACGCTTCCGATTTTTCACTCAAAAAATATATCCACATCATTCTTGAAAAATCATTGACAAAAAGAATGAAGTACCTTTTGTTACCGAGAGATGGAGTCCTCGTAGGACCACAAATGTCCGAATGCACCAGCTCGAGTGGACATTTGGCTCTCCAAGAAGTTTTAGGAAAAGATAGCCTATGCATTTTGCCGAAAATGTACCCTTCACAAACTTGCTCCTTTCTTTCAATTGATGGAAGGCCAAAAACCATACTCTTTTGCTTCAATAGCTGCAACCCTTTGTTGTGAAAATGACCATATCTCAAATGCCACAAATGGAATTTATCAACACTTTCTGCTTTGAAGGCCATTTCCCTTTCCAACGACATAATAAAGGAAAAACCTTGTTTGATGTCATTTGGATTGTCATCACATGA